GAGTTCACCTGGCTTGTGAAGATTTTGGTTTAGAACACGAGATAGATCAGTCTCCACTTTTTGATTACACTGTACAGGACCTGAATGACAGTGAAGGTAGATTTACTCATCTGGAACACTCTGGACTTCTGCCCAGAAGGAATTTAACAGATAAAATCCCTGGGCTAATAGAGATCATAGGACCCATCTAGGTTGAAGCTGTTGATTTATTAGGTGATACCAACAGATGGCACAGCCACAGAACATTGATTGGAGGTTGCTTTTAGAAACACAAAAACATTTCAATGAAGTTTTTAATGTGGATGAACATGCCAAATGGCTTCTTGAACATGGATCCCCTTATCCACCATTTGGGAAAACCAAAGAATGGCAGTAAATAAGTCTGGTCTTTCTTTATCAGGAAGGATGGAGTCATGCTAGGATGAAAACCAGCAGGGATTGTGATCCTGAGGAGCAAAGTGATAAAATGTTAATGACATTTCTGATGTACTAAAAGCATAAAGTGCATTTCTGCAGCACTGCACTCTCTTGGAGAGCTCGCATCACATCCTGACCAGGTCTGAACCCTCCAGCTTGTAAACAAGATGACAACCTGAAGCAATACATACATACATACATGTTTATACATATATATGCATATATAAGTCCAGATGCTGCTCTCCTGGAAATCTGTGGCATCTGGCTTAATAGAAAGTGGAAGAATAATGATGAAAGAAATCTTGTAAACTTTGTTTCAAGCTTGATAGAGAAGAAAGCAGCTTGGCTTTAGCTTGGAGAGCATCCTCCTGTCCCTTGCAGATCTGTTCACCACAGATTTAAACTCTCAGAGAATAATTTGCCCCCAAGGCTTCATAATGTAACATTGCAATGAAGAAATTCAATGCAGGATTTTTTTAGACAGCAATTTGATTAATTTGTCAGAGGAACAGAGTGTTTCACAACATTTGGGTCACAGCAGAACTGTGAGAGAGATTCTGTGCAGGAAATGAGAAGGCGGAGGGGAGGAAGTAGCTTTAAAACACTCTCTGGTTTTGTACACTGTGAATTTGATGTATGTGCAAGCTAGAACACCTTCATGTCTCTGAGAGAGAATACAGCCCTGCTATCACTGGGAAATGTGTTAGTTCCAGCCCTCTGGCATCTCAGATTGATCCAGGCTTGGCTATTTTAATACTTCACTTCCAGGAAACTGGTGGATGCTTAAAGTGATTTAAGGTTTAGGACTAAAATTATAATTATTTCAGTAACTTCAGGAAAACCATTGTGAAACAGCAGTGGTAGCTACAACTACATTTTATCCCTAAGATATACTACAAAGTGAAAATAATCTTTTAAGAGTTATATGTACACTTCTTACTTTTTATGTCACTGAGCCATTTTTTTAGGTCAGTAACAGTTACTGTGTTTGCTTCCAGCATCTCCAAATATATTAAATACAACCCTTCACTGGAAGAGAATCCACTGCAAATGGATCTTGGCTTCTGGCTGGCTGAGTATTTTGCTAATAATGAATGTGTACATCTAAATTGTCTCTACATTTCTACATTAAACATGAAATGAAATGCACCTAATACTTAGGAAGCAGGAATAATTTCAATTTGTGCAGAGCTGAATGCAGCTATTTTTCCTGAAGGCTAAAACCAACTCAGTTTACCTTCTCATTTTTTATTTCCTGTCTCTTCAGCACAATGGAGCACTCACTTCAATATTGGATGTATTGAGTAGAGGTGATAAAAATGTTTGTGCAGTGCCTAAATGAACTGTGAACAAATACTAATAGAACTATCTCGGCAGCACGATGGGCAATGATTGGACCTGTGACTTCACACCTGCTCCTGCAGAGGAACAGACACCTCCACCAGCCACCTGGCCATCACCTCTCCCTGCTCCCAGCAGGGAATGGGTGAACACACCAACACCCACTGCCTGGCATGAGGAAGAAAGTGAACAGCATGAAGGAAGGTGGAACCTGAGTATCTGATCCCTGCAGGAAAAGGGTAAGACTGTAGGTCCAAGTACAGCCTGCAATCAGGTCTCTAGGTTCTGTTTCAGTGTCCCTAGTTAGATCTGTTCCTGTTGATTTGAGAAACATCTGCATTTTGAACTGACTGGGCTTTGTCATGCATTTTCTGATTGAAAACTCTCAAAATCTTGCCAGCGGTGGCAATGCAGCCCCAAGACCCCTCGTGTGGAAGGACAGACTGCCAGGAAGTCTGTGGCAAGATCAGAGGTGTGACATATCCTACAATATCTGGAAAATTACAGCATCAACTGGAGAAGCAGATAGATTAAAGGAAGGATATAAGGTCTGGCTCATTAGCTGGGGAGCTGCTACCTCACACTGACCTTCAGTCTATCTAGTTCTTGCAAACTTTCTGCATAACAGCTGTAGGAGAGACCAGTTCCTGTCTGAAAGGCTTTGTCTACCTTCTTATTATCTTGTGTGTTACAATGCCTTTTCTTATTGTCATGACAGCTCCAGCTGACCTCTGGTGTCAATGAAGGATGCTGCTGCATAGACTGGTTTTCATCCTCTTCTTGATTTTAGAATCCCTCTACTATTCTTTCCTCCTTCTCCTCCATTATACACTTTTACTTTCACTTTTAAGGCCTTATCCTCTTCCTCTCTCTTATTCCTTACCAAAACCACTGAGCAGCCAGTGATGCTGGGCTCCACCATTTAATTGCTCTTTTCAAACATGCCCTCTTGGTATCTGCTGTGCTGCCTTCCTGTATTTTTCTGGGCAACTTTGCTTCTGCAAAGCCAGTTTGGTCACATTCCTCCGTGTGTTCTCCTTTGAGGTCATGCCAGCACAACACCAGGGAACAATCAGACTGCTGGGATTCTGATACTCCACTTTCCCTGCTAACCAATATAATCTTAGGGCTTTCTTGCACTACTTTGTTTGCCTCCAGCTGCCTTCCCCCCTCCCTCCCCTTAGAATATAATACTACTTGTTGTGGAAATCACCAGGCTGCTCTGTATTTATGCGGTCACTAAAGGAACAAAGTTCTCCTTCATGATGGGGTCGACAGGAGCTATAATAATAAACAGCAAATGTGCTAAAGGAGCGAGTTGGATTTGATATTTGATGATATATACAACCAAAGACAGAAAGAACTAGGTTAGTTTGCTCATGCTCTGCCAAGGTGAATCCATACAATAAAAATCATGTCTTCTCCAGTTACTGGAAAAGACATAGTTATTTATAACATATATTCTAATATTTCTTATTGAAGAGAAAGTTTTGTTTTGTTTTTATTAAATCACAATATTGGCAGTTATTATCCAGTTGTGTCAAATGCGTCCTTAAATATTCATTCCCCTTTCAGTTTCACATGCAATTATTCAGTATTACTTTTAATTTTTAAAGCAGCAAAGCACTTTTCCCTTAGATTTAGTGTGCGAGAAGTGTGCACATAACTATTACTTTTTTTTTTCCTCTTCTTGAAGTACTATAGAAAACTTTTCAGTTCCAGATGCTGTCGGGGAAATGGGAGAGCACCTTCTGCCATCTGCTGAGCAGAGTGAGAAATGCTCATGTGCTCAGCGATGAAATGGATAAAATTCTGCCCATCCATTTTTGGGCTATTTTAAACACAGAAGAGAATGTAATCAAAACAGCAGGCAGATCTAAGGTAGGATTTAAAACAGAGACAAAACAAGCTCATGTCAGCATTACAGTGTGGCAGGGAAAGACACTTGTGATGTTTTGGACAGAAAAAGAAGAGGAAGAAGCAGGTTGTGACAAACAGAAAAATAATCAGATGCAAATACAGAAAATGAAGTCCATTTTTCTCTGTTGATTTAGCAGTGGTACTTTGCCCTTTGGCTCTGTGTCTTTGGTAAACATTTTGAGCAGGACGCTGACAGCACTTTCTTTCTGAGAAGCATAACATGTTCCCAGTTGTTTAATGTTGTGGCTAAAATGTATGTTCTAAATGCAAACAGAGAAACTTTGTGAAACAAAAATAAACAAAGTATTTAAGATCACAGCAGTAAGAGTTTGACATAACCTAGGTTCTCATTAGAGCTTCAATGTCCCTCACTCCCCCTCACAGGCTGTGAGTCAGCAGGGAAGGAGGATACTTAGATTAGAAACACCAAACTGTGGAATAATGCTTATACAAATGTTATTTTGGTTGCACTTCAGATGCTCCTGCAGTTAAAATCTGCTAAATGAGAAGTGCAGTGATCAGAACCTCAACCAATACCTGTGGAGTTTTCCTTTGATGACCCCAAGTCACAGCACCAAAAGAAGGTTTTATACTACTCAAAAATATGAGATCAGCTTGGCCCTGTTGTCACAAACAAACACAGCCCAGTTTCATTATTCCACTCCTCCTGCAGTGCTGGCTTTGTGAGCCTTGTCTCTGCTGCTTTCAGTTCTCTGCTAATTGAAACATGCTTATAGAAGACATGAATCTGATCAAATAGGCCTCTGAAGCCTGAATTTCAGGCCAGATCAGAGTCTTGTGTAAACTAGCATGAAGCTGGTATCATCACTGGAGATGTCTGGCAATCCCACTGCCCCTCCAACACTAATCACTTCACCTTAAAAAGATTTTGGTATAAATCTCAGGACTCTTTAGTACATAGAAGCCTACACGCTCGAGTGAGAAGCAAAAGCTTCTTCATGACAGTTCTATTCTTTGATCCATTATCCTGTTCCAAACATCCTCATCCTCTAAAGATGCTGAGAAGATAATACCACATTTTCACAAACACTGGTCCCAACAGGAGATGCTCTGCAGAAGCAGCCAGAGAGGAAATGTTTTCAGCAGAAATGGCTGTTTGAATTCCTGCATTATGTACCAATGCAACATGTGATGGTTGTTTCATCCTTTATTCCAAGCAACACAAGGAATCTTTTATATTCTGTTTACTAGGACGGGAATAAATACAAAGAGTTAATATGTAACCATTCTTTTGTGGATGCTTTCATTTTTAAGAGAAGAAACACTGGACCAAGGGTCATTCGGGCTTGTGGACTGGCAGAATGTCCTCCTGGGCACTGGTCGTGTGCCTGGTTGCTCTGAGCCACTGTGCTCTTGCAGGAAAAGGTAAGACAGCCTTTCACTTTCTAACAGCCAATCCTGTTTTGAGGTGTGAATGAGGGAAGCTGGAGAGAGCAACAGGAGTTTAAAGCCTTCAAACAATTCCAGTCAAATGCTTTGGAGGAGAATTTTCTCCGAAAGCTATTTCCTCCCTTTTCCCCCCTGCATTCCTTCCTCTGTCCCTTCCCACAGAGGTGAATTGCTGTATGTGAAAGTATAAAATGGAAGAAAACAGGAGAAATATTGACAGAAATTGTGGAGACCAGGTTGCCTGTATTCTGGGGCACTGTGCAAGCCAGGAGTTCACCTTTCTCTGTCCCCCTGCCCAGCTCCCTGCTCACCAGCATTCCCCCTTGGCTGCAGAAGCCTCGCTTTTCTCCCCCTGTGCCCCATGCCAAAGGCTCTGGGCACTGGCTCACGAGCTCTGTGCTTTTCCATTTCCTCTGCATTTCCACAGCACAAGCTTTGTGCCTCTCTGCTGTGTCCTCACAGTCTCAGCAGGAGCCTCTCTCCAGGTCCTTTGCAGGAGCACAGTCTGCACCCTCCCCTCTCCCTCACTGCTCCCCTCCTGTTCTCACCCTCTGGGTAAAGACTTTTCACACTCTCAACATGTTAAAGCCACTTTGGAATCAGAACTGCGTAATGTAACAAGAGTGTTTGCCCCACTGAACAGAAACATTGGGGAAACCAAATAAAAGTAAATTAAAAAAAAAATAAATACTCTCATTTCAGGCTGAACCCACCAAACTAATTTCAATTAAAAAGGAAATTCATTAGTTTGCTTCTAAGTCCCTCTCAACCTCTTTTGTCCAAGATAATTCATGATAACTGTCTCACTTTACAGAATACCCTCATAAATGCACTTTGAAGCTAAAGTAAATGCTACTAAAAAAACCCAAACGTGTGGCCCCAGATGGAGCTGCTGAGGAGAAGAGGCTCTCACTTCCAGCAGCCCCAGTGAGCTCTGCACCTGCAGACTGGCTGCAGAAGGGCAGGGCAGCTCAGTGCAGAAATGTTGTCTCACCAACAAACTTGTGCCTCCAGTTAAGAAATAAAAAAAATTTAGATTTTCTGCCCAATTTCTTGCATGGTGTCTCCTCCCCTCCAGTCTGTCCCAGGCCCCCAGAAGTGCTCTTTGCCACCGTGAATGTGGACAAGAGCGTGTACGAGGTGGGGGAGTCAGTGGAATACACCTGCAGGCCTGGCTTTGTCCCCAACAACGGCCAGAGGAAATACACCTGCCTGCCCACCGGCAAGTGGCCTCTCAACACCCTGCTGTGCCTACGTAAGTGAAACAAAACAAACCCTCTTCTAGATTTTACACCATCTTGCTGCCACAGCTCATCTGAAAAGGGTATTGCTAGCCCAGGTGATTAACCTGGTATATTTAACCCTATAGGCTTCTGTTTTCTAATTGTTCTTTCACTACCCGTTGGAAGACAACTAAGGGTGGGGTAGAAGAGGGGCAAGTAATAGGGGAAGGGTCTTCCTGTGCATGTTCCATCCTTTCCCTTAAGCCTCTGCTCTGGGATGGTGATGGAGCTTGGATCTGGACAAGGTGAACCTTAATCTGGCTCAGCCCAACAGGGCTTGTACTCTAACCAGATACACTGGGTGATAACACCTGCATGTGTTGTACCCCTCATTGTTCCTGTTTATCATCTCCTTGCTTAGATGTAGTTTTCCTCAGACAATCAAAGTTTAAAAATTAATTAAAAAATTTAGAAAATGCTACATTTATATGTAAATAGAGAATACTTAGGAGATGTAGTACAAGTGGAGAAATGTGAAAGACACCAGGACCCCTTTATGATCAACTCATTGCCATTATCCAAGCTTCACATCTCATGAACTAATAGTATTTTTTCTTAATCTTTAATTAACAGCACAGAGATGTCCCAATCCTGGACCCTTGAAGAATGGAAAAATTGATTCTATAGACCACCACTATCAGAGTTCTTTAAGCTTTTCATGTGATCCAGGGTAAGCTTTCCCTTTCTCTTATTTAAGCATATAACCTAAATCACAGTATTACATCCCACCACCACCTGGTGCAGTATTGCTAACCAAGGAACTTAGCTGCACAGAACAGCCCACCTCCATTTCAGAAACTAAAAAAAAACCAACCCATGTCTGGTGATTCTCCTGTTTAGTCTTGGCTATAACATCCTGGAGCTTTGCTACTCCAAAGCAAGGTCTTACATCAAAATAGCAGAGATCTTATGTAAAGATTTATTCTAGACTACTTTCTCCTGCTTTTTAAATCCTCTTACTCCATTGGGAGATGAAATCCTACAGCACAGAGAAGATAATCTCCATCTAAGTTGTTCAGTCTCCAGAGCCTAACAGCATAACATTTTGTTTCTGTGCTCTTCTGAGCTCAGTAAATGAAAACACAATATTAATCCTCATTTGGCCCCTGGAGCAAATACACTTTTACTCAAGGCTACTTGCTAGTTTTAGAAATAAGGATAGATTAAAAAAAAAAAGTTGTGGTAAATACAGAGAAACATTTGACAGTAAAATACAGTTCATTTTACTTGGGTAATTAGTTAATAAACAGTGCTTACCTGGGAAGGTCATAGGTTAGACATAGGCTAAATTTCCCTGAAGAGTGGCAACAGCCTCAGCTACCTCCTTCTAATAATCTCCATCTAAGTTGTTATGCTGTTAAGCTCTGGAGATTGAACATTTTGTTTCTGTGCCTTTTTGAGCTCAGTAAATGAAAACACAACATTAATCCTCATTTGGCCCCTGGAGCAAATACACTTTTACTCAAGGCTACTTGCTAGTTTTAGAAATAAGGATAGATTTTTTAAAAAAAGTTGTGTTAAATACAGAGAAACACTTGACAGTAACATACAGTTCATTTTACTTGGGTAGTTAATAAACAGTGCTTACCTGGGAAAGTCATAGGTTAGACATAGCCTAAATTTCCCTTAAGAGTGGCAACAGCCTCAGCTACCTCCTTCTAACAGAGCAAGGGAAGGAATAAATAATTGAGCTACACCACCAAATGTAGCAAGGAGACTTGATTTAATTTTGCTAATTATAATTTACTGAGTTTCAGCTGTGTGATATTGAAATGATAGATACATGACAAACATCTCTTTAAAACTCAGAATAAATGCTAACAATGTAAGTGCAGAGGATGAGAGAGCAGCATCTAGAGTGCATATGGAAATAAAATTGGTCTGTCTGGCATTAAAATAGAACAATGGGCCTCAGAGGCTTCAGTTCTTGAGAGTGCTGAGTTCTTTGCAACAGTTTGATCTCAATTGCCATAACTAGCTAGGAAATCCTCCCAAGAAAACATAACATTTATGTTAGCAACCACACACCCATGCTCATCATTTACATTTATCCACAGTATTAATTAATTTTAGAAATTAAGGTATAAGGGATAATCTATAGTTAGAAAAGGCAAAACATCTTTTTGTACCAAGACTTTCATCTGGATACTTGGAATACTTGAATACTAACAGTTTTTTATAGTTGAATCTGAACTTTCTTTGAGGTCAGTAAGTGATAGGATCAGAGAAAGATTTCAGAACTGGCCTCCTAAGTGTGTTTATGAGAAATGGTAATTTTTCTTGCAAAGAACAACTTGATTCTTTTCCTTGTTCATTAAGATTTTGGATAATCAGGTCTTTTTCTTTTCAGTTACACCCTCGTTGGGACAAGAACGAGCCAATGCATGGCAGATGGAAAGTGGAGTGGAATTTTTCCACAGTGTCAACGTAGGTGGTTAAACACTTAAGAGCAACTCTGCCCTTATTCTTATTACAGAAAGATTGCTTGGCATTGCTCAGAATAGCATATACTCTTAGCCAGAGACCTGCTGTAGTGCCATGAAAACAATGGTCAGGAAAAATCAAGAAGAACCTTGTATGTTTGGTTTTAGAGATGTGGTTTCTGGTTTTAGAGAAATACAGTTTAAAGTTCTGTCCCAAAGGCCAGGATCAGGGATGCTACTTACAGCTGAAGGTAAGATGCTCAGCCACTCAAATTCATTCTCCCTGCATATAAAAGAATATTGTTGTGCCTTTTCAACTGTAACATGGGGTTTTGTTAAAGTCTGTCCCAAATACTTCACTGAAAGAGGAATTCACTGCATAATATTGTTGTAAAAATATAGCAAAAATCATGACTTATCAACTCTAAGGCTCCTGAGGCTTTTAATCTGTACTTTTTGTTGTGTTAGCCATGCTCCTGTGAAGGGCAGTGAGGGTTAATTTAATTATAAGCATGTTGCTCTTGTTATTCTAGTAATAATTTGATCTTCAAGCTTTAATTGCTATGAATGCTGTGCTTTTCCAGCGGTGACTTGTGCACCTCCCTCACTTCCTGAGTTTGGAACCCTTTCTTATCGCCTCTCCAAACCTGGAAACATTTCTCATTTCCTGGACACAATCACTTTTGAATGTGTACCTCCCCTGGCACTCATTGGGAATGAGACAGCCACCTGCATGGCCAACGGGAGCTGGAGCAGCATTCCTGAGTGCAAGGGTATGTGACTTGTACCAATGCCTAAAAATCCTCCCTAGATTTGCACAAATAACACCACAGGAACAGCTTCCAGTACCTGAGAGGAGCCTGTGAGAAGGCTGGGGAAGAGCTGTTCACAAGGCTGTGTAACAACAGGACAAGGGGTAATGGTTTTAAGTTAGAAAGGGTAGATTTAGGTTGGACATTAGGAAAAAGTTCTTTCATATGAGGGTGGTGGATCAATGGAACAGGTTGCCTAGAGAGGTGGTGGAGGCTCCATCCCTGGAGACATTCAAGGTCAGGCTTGACGGGGCTCTGAGCAACCTGTTCTAGTGTGAGATGTCCCTGCTTATTGTAGGGGGGTCAGACTAGGTGACCTTTAGAGGTCCCTTCCAACCCAAGACTCTATGATTCTATGAATGTTAGTATTTTCTCTTTACAGTTGTTCTTGCAAGCATGTAGGAGAGCTATTTTGAAAGTTAGACTCATGAATGCAAGGTGATTGCTCACAAGATTGTACACAACATGGGATTGACAAAATATTTGCTGCAGTTATAAAGGTTGTATAAACAAAACCTGGTCAATGTACTGGGGAACCAGAGCTTGGCCTCCAGGGCACATTGAACTTTTAATTCTGCTAAGTGCTAGGATTGATCTAAGAAATAGACAACCTTACCCTTAGTCCTAAGAACTTCACCAGTTCCAGGGAGGTTATGCCACATTTAAGGAGTTTTTGGATTGCAACAAAAGTGTATTTAGAACAAGTAACATTTCTTTATCTATAAGCAATATTTCTTCTGTCTATGTTTTCCTGTGCAAGAGGCTAAAATGCACGGCCACAAAAGTTTTATGTATTTTTGCAAGTACAAAGCCTGTCTTTTAGAAATGCCACATTGCTAAAGCCTTGTTTTCATTTGGGTGCTGCAGTTGTCACGTGCCCCACCCCATCAGGAATAGAAAATGGCTTCCTGGAGTTAGTTGCTCGTCGAACCTACCACTACAACGAAAGCGTCAGCTTCGGCTGCCAGCCCAGCTACGTGCTGGAGGGGCCCAAGCACTCCCGATGTGAGAAGACTGGGAACTGGTCCACAAAGCCCACCTGCAGAGGTATGCACACACTGTCTGCTAGAAACCACCTAGCCAGTTTACTTTTCTTAGAAGGCCACCCCTCTGATTGCCACTGAGCAAGAGCTGAGCCAGAGCTGGCCTCGAAAGAACAGCAAAATAATAATTTCAAGGCCAATAAAATCTAAAACCACTCCCAATATTGAACACTGTAGGATGTGATGTATCTCAATTGACTCCAGTAATCACCCACACAATTTATTTTGTTTGAGTATTTCCTCTCCCCTTCCTGTTTAATATAATTAAAATTTTACTGAGGCTGGATTTTCACTGGAAACTTTTGATCTTATTCTTGGGGGTCTGAATTTCTTCAGCATTGTAGTACCAGTGCAATATAGGACACATTATTTTTCATTCCCAAATGTCACCTGTACAGATTTCTGGTGGGATCTAATCTACCTACATTTCAAGAGAGAGCTCTAATTATCCTGATGTGCTGCCTATAGCTGGATTGTTTTGCAGGTCCATGCAAAATACCAGTTAAGAAAGCTGTAGTATTATATAATGGTGAGAAGAAAAGAGTTCAAAATGACCTTAAGGATGGCATTCAGCATGGTGAAACTGTATCCTTCTTCTGCAAGAATAAAGAAAAAACCTGTGCCTATACTGTGGATGTTCCATGTGTGGATGGCAACCTTACCCTCCCTGCCTGTTTCAAAGGTACAAGCCATGCTAACCACAAAACAGCTTCTGTTGGTGGAATAACAAATACTTTAGTGTGGGGAAAATGTTGTAATTAATCTTTGAGCCCTTTTTGACTGACTAATTCATCTGCCTTGTAATAAAGTTCCTGGGTGTTTAGGAAGAAATGGCCTGAGAGGAGAGAATGCACAGGCAGACTTTTCTTTTGGACACATCAGAGCCCTGCTTTAATTCATGTTCTCTTAAAAGGTGTCATTTAGAGGTGGTCTAGCCCAAACAAAAGGCCATACATGAAGCATTCCAGGATTTCATGAATCCTTGGCTTGATGTCCTCACCAGGTGTAAAGGGGTTGAACACTGCTGCAGCCTTGAGAACCTCACATACTCACTCCTGTTCTAGTGAGTTATTCCCCCATTTTACTGATGGGCAACACGCTGGTTCTGCCCTCAGACCAAGAGTATTAAAAAGCAGCTGACAGCTGTAGTGAGGAGCTGATGCTGCAGGAACTGGTTCACAGGCACACAGGTTTTTAGAATAAATAAACAGCCCAAATAGTGAAGCTTTTTAGCCAGAGGAAATGCTTTGCATTTGTTTTATCAATATTTCATGCATAGAATACTCCTTGTAAGTTTTATTTTTGTTTGCAAGAGAAGGAAAGAACCACAGCCTCTGCATGAGGAAAACATCTTTCCTCACATTTGCCTTGGGTTCTGATGGATGTAGCTTAGCTCTCATTAAAAGAGAAACAAACAGTGTGTTTCTTCTAGGGGTTTTACTCTGCTGCAGAGAGGGATTGCTGACTGAGCAGGGTGCAGGGAGCCTGCTGGTTTCAGCTCTCATACATTTCAAGAATTTAACCTCGAGATATTAACTATTTGCTTTCAACAGAACGTGGCTTTTTTTCATCTCTTGTGAAGAAGGACCCATCAGACATGAAACCATGTGAAGTTGAAGAGTGAATCAGAGCAGCAATACAGCACTAAATTTCTGCCTTATGGAGACAAATGTTCCATACCAGAGAGGAAAACTGAGGTCCTGACAGTGTAAATTTCCAGGTCAACTCTGGACTCTCTGGGAATTGGGTCTCTGCTGTTTTCCCTACCACCATCTCTACCAGCTTCTTTCACAAGCTATGGCACATTATTTCAGCCATTAACTTCCATCCCCTTTTCTCTGCCTTCTTCAAAATCCCCACAATACTGCTTCTCTTCCTGCATTTCCAACATTCATGCAACTGTAAATGACTTTCTCAATAGCAGTCCCTTCCCAATAAAGTGATTCTCTGCCAATAGTGTGGTTTTATTTAATATTACCTAATCATCAATCCCATCCTTTAGCTCTTAACTGGTTTACAGAGAAGGGCCTTCATTATTAGTAATGACCTGGGTTTTGGTTCCATTACTGCTCCCCTGTGATAGGGAGTGGACCTTTAATTATAGCTGGGCAGATGGTCATCAGCCTCGGGTTCTCCAGAATTCACATAAGTCAAAAGACTGAGATTCACAAATCCATTAGAAACCAAGTATCCATCCACACTATTAAATATCAATACTATCAGATAAAAGCCTCTTTTACACTTAAAAAAAGGAAACATGCTAAAGTTAGGAAGACTATGTTCTTGAGATTCTAGCTTCACCTGAATCTGTTGTTTTAAACACTGTTAATTTTTACCACTTGTTCAATATTACACAATGTAACTGGTTCCTTTTTAGAAAGAGAATTGTGCACCATGGAGCAATAGTAATGATTTCTGGTCATTAAATAGCTTTGAAGTTAACTGTACTTTTGATTTACTATACAATTAGTCACTGGTATGATCCACTCTGGTAAGTTTTGTGCTTATGTCTGTATTTCCATCCAGAAAAAAAGAATTAGAATTTCAACATACTAGAAAGAGATAGAGAAATATTTGTTGTACACTTATAATAAATTGTCATAAGTCATATGTGGATCCTTCTGAAGTATAAAAGCCTCCTCTGAGATTAAAAGCAGAGGTAAACTACACAGTAAGCAAACTACTGTAGAACTTCTTTAAAGGACCTTTTAACATTAAGATCAAACCACTTATAAGATGCTGCAGCTGCCATTAAGAAGCTATGAACATACTCTCACTATCTTTTTTATTTTTTGAAGGCTGCACATGAATATTTTAATAGTATGACTGATATAATTTGTTCTTATACTTCCTATTGCTAAGGAGAGATTGAGACAGCTATTATTAAGTATTTAATACTTTGTGCTCATCAGGAATTTATGTCTCTAATGAAGAGATTGACAAAGTCATGCCAGCAGCTGACGGGGGATTTTGTTTGTACAATGTGCACTGTTTTGGTTCCTAGGCATGTTTAAGAGAGATCCTTAAATGATGGTTGACATACAGGCCAAGATATCCATAACTACACTTCTAATCCATCCAGAGATCAGCTGGCAGGAACCTATCTGTTAGGAAATCTAGTCTAAATGTTGTGTGGATCCATCTCTGGGATCGGGATGTTCCGGACGGTAGCTGAAACACCATACACAGTTTAATATTAACTTGTGTTTCACAGCAAAACACTGTGAACTTGACATGAGTGAAGTTAGCATTCACTGCCACAGAAATGCTGCTTTTCCCTGAAATTATTTGTATTTTGCACAAGAACAGTTGCTCCAGGAGCATTCCAATTTTTCTAAGCAAATGTTCCCAGTTCCATTCCCTGTGCAGCAGGACACCAACAGATCATGTCAGCTGGCCCTGCTTCCTAGCTGGATATGCAGCATTTGAATAATTCAAGGAATCACTCTTAGGAGCCAATGATCATACACTGAATTTATTATCTAGTGCCCTGAAGCAAGAAGAGGGAGAAAAAAAAAAATCTGTGACCTGCTAAGTCTTTGAAGTAGTGAGGTGTTTGTGAATCACAGCTTTTGAGACATGAAAGGTTTGCTTAGAAGGTCTGAAAAATAATATATTGCAACTAGAGGTGTTCCAGAGGCTGCAACAAGGGAGTGAAAACTGCCTTTTTAAAAAAAGATGCTTGAAAGATGCCTGAAGCTGCACTCGTGTTACTTGTAGCAACCTGCTGAGACAGTTACAGAGATCAGGGAACATGGTGAAGAGAGATTAAAAAAAAAGTTTTACTTAAATGATTATTTTTAATATTTTTTTACAATAATTGGGAATTTGTTCTGTGTTCTGGTTGGGATGTCTATGTGTTCTACAAGGGTCTATCTACAGGGATTTCCCCCAGAGGGTCAGTGCACATCAGTACTCGCTGTCCAGGCTGCAGCTCTGGCTGGAGATATGACCTTGGTCATTCCTTGAATCTTTAGTTTTTCTTTCTTTTTGGACAGAAGTTACACAATTTTCAAATCAATGTAGGTGGGCTTCAACATCTTGAGCCACCCTGCTCTGCATCACAGAAACCAGCTCTCTTCTCTCAGGAAATTTGTCCCAGAGCACTGGTTCCAATTTCATTGGAATTCTGCTCTGCCTGATACAACATCAAATGCGATTGTATAAAGTGTTTTGTGATGAGCATGACAAAGAAATATCCAAATTAGAAGGCAAGGTGGAGATAGGAATCAATGAGCAACACACAAAAAAGTTGGCTTAGAAATTCCAACCCTTTTCAGCTGTCAAAAAGCAGATTCACAAAGCTGGGCAGAAATGCAGACTCCACCAGGCCAACATGCTGATGTGCTGCCCTTGGAAAACCTGCCTGGAAAGAGTCACATTAAGTCCTTTCAGCCCTCCATATTCTCCCAGCTAACAAAACTGTTGTCTGTCTCCTGTGATTTGGACTGACTTGGACAAATTGCTTTCATAATGATTATTGAATTCCCACAACAGATCTGGGTAACTGAAGTGGTGACTCAGAAGTGGGAAGTTTGGCATGTTCAGGTCTTTGAGCAAGTCAGCCACCCCCAAGTCTTACTGTGTTGTGAGAATCTGCCACTCTTTAAAAACAGATTATAAGTAGTAATATCTTAAAAAAGATATTAAATTGCAATTCTGTAAAGTTTGGAATTTAGAGATAATAGGTAATAATTGTAATCTACTCGTGAGATTCTCTCCATCAGTGATTTTTGCACTGCTTCTGTGCAAATGTTGCTTTAAGAAGCTTCGTGCAAACCAGTGTAACTGTCACAGCTATCAGCAAATGAGCCCTAATGTAGAATCATTTATGCTGAAGATCAGCTGAGAAACCAAAGAAAACAGCCAATTTTCTACCATATATGTAAGAAATTCTTATTTTATGTACATGTGCATGTGTATCAAGCTTAGAAGAGTTGAAGAGTTTCCTCATTTGAGATAGAAGCCCTTCAGATGATACACACACACCAAGGGCAATGACAGATCTTGGGGAAAGACAAATGATTAACTGTATCAAGGGGATCAGACGTTTTATTTGGGATCAAACATACCTGCAATTATTTCACTGACTCAGGAAGAGGCTGAAGGGATGAAAGGACTGGGAGATTTCACTAATTCTTTTAGATTAAACAACAGTTTTCTTGACATGGCTACAAAACAAGTGTAACCTCTGTCTTTTGTGTAGAAATGTCAGGCATGCACTTTTAAATTGTTATATTCCACAACATTCCCTCCTGTTTTCTGTCCTTGGGACAGGACATCAACAACCCATGAAACATGAGCAATACTGAGTCAATGATATGTTTTAAAGTGAAGTCAAAATCATGCTATTATTTACAAGGCTACACTTAAACAAATCTTACTTAGAATATACTCAGAATGCTCAGAAACTGGCTAAAATTGGCTCTGCAGTTACTCAGCCTGCACCTGCAATTTCAGTCTCATTTTATCTGCTCATGTGTCTCACTCCAATTATGGAGACACAAAAACATTGCTCAGACTCAAAACCTCCTTCTGATTTATTGACCTTTAATTTCTTAGTGACAAGTATTTTCCACTAAGCTCAGTGGAAGCCTTTTTTTTTCCCCACATATTGATCATAGCCAAAATATAAAAACAGATACATCCAATATCAAAGTAGCAGCAATTAAAGCAAAGAAAACACACCTCAAACAACCCAGAGACACCTCCTGCAGCTTCTGCACCCTGACTTTTCTAGCACAGACTCCCCTGTGGTGCTGAAGCACTGAGTCTGTCCCCAACACAATGAGGGTCTGAGCCCACCTCATGACATTTATGACATCTCCTACTTCTCTAGGTCCTCATAAGGTTTTTAATGTGTACAAATAAATGTTTATCTATGTATATGCATTTTTGCAGGAAGAGTGCTGGGTGTAGTGCTGATTGCAGAGCCTGGTGCAGTGGGCCCCGCTGGACGGCCAGGCCAGGAGAGTTGTGGCAGTGTCACTAGTGGTGTCTCTCAGGGCTTGGTTTTGGGGCCAGTTTTGTTCAATATCTTTACCAATGATGTGGATGAAGGGATCGTGTGCGGCATCAGTTTGCAAACACCAGATGGGGTGAGTGTTGATCTGTTGGAGGGTCAGAAGGCTCTGCAGAGGGCCCAGGACAGGCTGGATCGATGGGCCAAGGCTGCTTGTGTGAGATTCAGTAAGGCCAAGTGCCAGGTTCTGTGTTTTGGTCACAAAACGTTTTGGGGGAGGAGTGGCTGGAGAGCTGGGGGACCTGGGGTTGTGTGGCCTGAGGAAAAGGAGCCCCAGACCTCATTGCAGGCTACAAGTACCTGAAAAGAGGTTGCAGGGAGGCGGGATTGGCCTCTTCGCCCAGGTGAATAATGACAGGACCAGAGAAAACGGCCTGAAGCTGTGGCAGGGGAGGTTTAGATTAGATATTAGGAAGAATTTCTACACTGAAAGACTGGCCAGGCACCCGAACAGCTGCCCGGGGAAGTGGTGTCTTCACCACCCCTGGAAATATTAAAAAATCATGTAAGTTTGGTCCTTCAGGGCGTGCTCTGGTGACCGAGGCTGTGGGGCTTGTGCTGACGGCTGCACTCGGTAGTCTCGGAAGGCCTTTCCACCGATGACAACCCTGCGATTCTGCACGCACAGCACCCGCAGTGTGACGGGGACACCTCCGGGCAC